CCAGTGATACCCACTGTAGGTTTCTTTTCATTTCTGTGACACTAGCACCTCTTTCATAGTTCTGTTCATACAGAATATTGCAGCTTGATTCTGTACCCTTCTTAGTTCTTCTTTGTCTTTCTTTGTACATGGATCCAACCTGCACATCATATCTGTTTTCTCAACACAATAAAATTTCTTAAATAGTGGTTATTTGGGCTATAAAAGCAGGCCTAGACCCCAAGCAGACCTTTTTCTCAGACCGGGTAGGTTTTTCCGCCTGTTGGACTGGATCGGTTTTTCCGTAAACCCATGTGGGTCGCGATCATGGGGGAGGGGGGCGGTTCGCCTCGGCTTTATATTTGATACAGGCTCCGGTCTAAAAAAAATAAATTGACGTTGGACCACCAGAACTCCGATACACAACAAGAAGAAAGAAATTACAAACTTCCTACCCCCAAACAGCAAAAAGCCACGGTTGTAGACCCGTACCCCTCCCCACCGACCGTATGTTTACGTAAGTTTATGCGACGTTTTGGCATCCTTACCTGAGAAAAAACTGCCCAGAACTTGTCCAAATAGCTGTCCACACTCTGAAGGTGAATTGCTCGATCTTCATCACCTCAAAAATTGCAGATTTCGGACAATTTAACCAAAATGCGTGCGTATACTGGGTATAGTAAACACCAACGCGCCCAGTCGATCGGTGCCTGGTTTCACAGTACCCGGTACATATCACGTGGTGGGCTGTCCATGGCCAATAATACGAGCGCTGTGGCCGATATCCTCTCGAGAGGATAGCAATGCGTTATCACGTCCTCTGGAGGACGGGAGGACGTCCTCCAGGCCCTTACTTATGCACTTATTGGCATGCCTATAAGTCCTTTACTATCTGATATTGGTTTTGTAGCCGGTGCTGGTGTACTGCATCCCGCACCTCGTCCGCCTGGTGAGCTTTCTCCAGTTGTTCTACCCTCCTCAGCAACAACTCCGGATTATTCTACAAAAGAAAACACCTTCCGTTATTTTCCGTACCGGATAGATACCGTATGTCAGTTGCATCAGGCTTGACCCTTGCCATACTATTTATTTGGGTTTGTAGGCATTTCTCAACGTACCAGTAAACCAAGTCCGTCTCTACCTTAATG